AGGAACTAAACCCTCCCCCTCCCCCACATCCCTGCCAGAAACGGCAAATGATCAAAATGATAATTCACACAAGAGAAAGGGGAACATCAAGGGACAGACGGACAAGTTGGATGCTACGAGAACACAGCAGGCCAGACAGTTGTTTCTGTACACTGTGTTTGAAATCTGGCTTGGCCATGCTAACCTAGGGACTCTGCTGTACCTCAGCTGACTAAGTTAATTAGTTGGTTTTGGACAGGCTGCCCTGGTGATGACCGATTGCTTCCCTGGTGATGACCGATTGCTTCCCTTTATGTAAAGTCCCCAGCAGGAGTCGAGGTAGTCTGGACTTACTTAGTGGGGATCACAGAGACAAATGAGGTCTCAGTGCCCAGTCTCAGCGTAGAAGGAGCTAAGAGACTTGCCTCGTGGGACCAGCCTCAAGGGATACTCAGGCTGTACAAAGGCAGCTCTGGGCAAAGCAAAGTTACAGACTACCTGCCGTGAATATGCCAGGGGAGTCACTAGCCTTGCTCGACAAAACAAGAACCCAGTGATTAATGTTACAGTGGATCTGCCAATCCCCACCTAGTATGAACACAAGCATCCCTAGATAAGCTGCAGCAATAGTGAGTTACCCCTTACTGCCAAAGAATGGCATCTTAGTTCCAATTTGAGTATTTTTTTGTTCAGCCCTCATTCTGGTGCTGCCCACTATAGTGAACAGCCCTTTTCTAACAGGTCTCTCTCTGAGCAGGTGCCTGCAGACCCAATAAAGCAACTGCTTTAATCTTCTCTGAACTCCATTTTTCTGGATGAACCAAGGTTACTGCTGCAATCACCAGGAAGCTGTTCAAGTACATTTTCCAGGAATTCTAGCTTAGTGAGCATTTAGAAGTGCCCCTTCCCAATTTCCCAGTTATGTTCATACTTCTGCTGCTGGACTGTTTGCTTCCATTAAGTTTTACTAATTTATTTTTGGCTTTTAAAAGCAGGCCTTTTTAAAGTGCTAAGTAAAGTTGTATTAGTGGATGTCTAAGCAAAGCTCCCACTGGGACCAAATAGCCACCCTCCAAGAAGCATCACCCTGCTGGTTAGCCAGCCAACAAGCTTAGTGCCAGAGGAAAATAGTGATGCTGATACATGATGCAGCTAACCCTTCTGGGCCAAAGGACTGAAAGATGTGTCATGGGGCATGAGAGAGAGAGAGAGGAAAATTCCCCAAGGGTTCTATCACCTACTTCCAAAATACAATGCTCCCCAAGCGCTTTAGAATAACTGCTCATTTTCAGCCCACCTCAGCATCCCCCAGGACTGAGCAGCATTCATTTGCAGAGCACTGAAGAATTAGTTTAGAAATGGGGCAGGTAACTTACCCCAGGGAAACACAGTGAGAAATACTGGCAGGAAAAAAAACCCATGCACAGCAGAATCATTATCTTCTCCATCACTCCTCACCCTGGCACCTGTCTTTTCTCAACCCTGCTCACCAGGTGGCTTCTAGCTCTCCCCTTAACTCTGAAGTTACAGCTGGCAGCCTCTTGTTACTTGGTGTGGAGAAGGGTAATGACAGCTCCCACTTCTCCTTACCTGGAGATGTGGCCAGGCAGCCTCTAGTGTAGGTTCGTCCTCCTCAGGATCAAATTCAGCTCCTGTCGGGTTGGATGAAGGGGGCAGTGTCCGGAAGAGGTTCACTGAAAACTGATGGGTGTGAAATGCAGAGAAGAGACCCTCACACACTGCAATGGCCCTGCTGACAGCAAAGCTCTCCCAGAGCCCTCTCACTAGCAGAGCAGCGCAAAGGTAGTGCTCTTTGCAGGCGCTCCCACAAACAGCTCCCATGCTGAAGACCAAAGAATTACTGCTCTCATGCCACCCACAAACTCCACAGGTGTTGCCTGTGCCAAGAACAAAGTCTGCTCTTGCCCCCTCCTCATACATACATTGGATCCAGCTTCCTTTGCAAGTGCACATACCAGACACTCTCATGCTCCTTCCTGACACTGCTCCTGTCCCTGGTTGCACCCAGCGTCAGCGGCCTCCAGAGTCTTCTCTATGTACACCTGTGGATCTTCCTGCACCTTCAGCTGCTGCTGTCCAAACCACTTCTGCCCCACTCCAGCCATGGCTGCAGGGGAGCTATGCAG